ATGACTTTCAACATCACTGCTAAGCATCGACTACCAAAACTTAGGGATCAATGATGTTCTACAGTTTGGCGGCACGACATTCATTCTGTTATTTAACAAGGCATCGTCTCTCGCACATTCCAAAGTGTGCCTTTGACAGCACGTCAGTTACAATCAAAGCTGTACTAAAGCATGAGTGATTCCTCGAACTGAAACCGCAGGTGTTCTCCTTTATTCTTCATCCACTTTGATGGCCAGTGGTCATTCGATTGAAACATCAGATCTATTCAAGTCGTTAGATTCGATTTTGCACTTTTCGGTGCAAGACCAAGGTCGATGTTAAAATACGTTCAGTTCTACTGACCGTTTCGGCTACTCGGCAACCGGCAATGACCATACTTCGAACAAGCAAAACCTGTTGGTTGCCAAAACAGTTTTTAATTTAGAGCCCTGCTCTGTTGTTAGCAGCCATATCTCCAAAATATTGGTATCTTGGCATTGTCTTTAGCCCAGCACCTGAGACCTCTGTTTCAGAGCATCACCCATAAAGGCAAAGTATGTGGTGCGGTACCAGTTTGAACCTACAATGTCAGATCATCTTTTGATAAACATGTTTACTGTACTTCATGCTGATAGCCATTGAATCAGAAAATACATTTGTTTCATTATGATTATCATAATCACCAACATCTTCTACCTTTTCCTTTTCTGTTATCGTTTCACCATCATTCTTCTCATGATTATCGTGTTCACCATGTCACGAAATTCCGTGGTTGGGTCTTTCTCCACAGTTTGCGATGGATACACTGGTAATGGGTTTGTGAGAGGGATCGGTATCATGACTAGAAACCCATCGTCAGGAGATCATTGTTTTATCGAAACGGTCAACTTATGCGAAAATTACGAACGGAAGAACGTAGATTATCGTATGATATTAAAATTTAAATGCCGGATTGGAACAGCAAAAATACAGAGTGTAAAAAAGGAAAATGTATTTGTCACTTTACACCAACTGCGTTACTGGATCGCCCTTTGATTTTGACGTTTGGGCTTGAACATGCTTTTTGATGAAGACAGTTAGGAGACGCGCGTTTTGCATCAAATGCATTACGGGCGCTTAAATGCCATTGTGCCTGGCTTGCTTAAACGGCCCCCTAAGCGACTAAAAGCAAGGGGGCGGTGCAATAATGTAGTTGGTGTAAAGTGAGAACTACATTTGTTTCTTTACACTCTGCATTTTCGCCGCTTCAATCCGGTATCTTTATTTCAATATTGTGTATTTAACGGGGGTATTGAAAGCTTTTATTCGTAAAGTCTTTGGGGCTATGTCTTCGAAATGTACATTAATCCGGAAGACAATCTTGGATGAGCACTGTATTCGAAAACAGGAAGTGAGTTCAAGCACTTCTGCGAAAGTTGATGAAACAACTTGGCCGGTCTCGGAGCATATTTAATATGTAGTATAAACAGATATAGAATCGCTTTATCATCTGACTAGCTGAATACACTTATTCAGGCAGTCAATCATTAATCAATCAAGGTTTATTAGCTTATTCTATTAGCACAGAGAATATCGTTATGGTTATATGTCCTTATCGTTAAAATACTTATCAGAGAATTCATTGCAGTCATTGAATTCTAACATTTGGACACGCGAGAACGATTTTTTAATATGAACAGTTCAAGTTTCATATATACTGCCATTTATCAAAATTCATATGCTCTTCTGCATAAGTTTCCGGAAATAACTTTCGCGGAAGGCCTCTCAGCGGAAAGAGTATAACTGAATTGCGATTTGGTCCGATACACGAAATCTAGAGGTGAGTGCAAGTGCCTAAACAAATCCCTCCCTTCAAAACGATGAAAAAAAACTTGTGTGGGTCAAATTCCTCAAAAGTTATTTAAGTACGGAGGAACAGAAATGATAGAAGGGCTCCATGTGGGCCACAAAATGTTCCCTTGGATAATGGAAGGGTGATGAAAAGTTCTCATTAAATTGTAAGGGGCACGGGAAACTGGCCTCTCGGAAAACTTTCCCTGCATTATCCTGGAAAGGCGGAGTCTGGCAGTTGCTGAACGACTTCACCAAACTCAGGCAGGCTTTCAGATAGAGCGACCAAAATTCCACTTTTTCTTAAAGAATTCCGACGACGCCAGTTGCTCTGGTTTTCTAGTTTTTTCAACATTATGGCCGCATTTGACTCAATACATCGGAACGATGGCAAACAATCTTAAAGTGTTCTGGGATACAGGAGCACATTGCTGAGGTCGAAGGAGAGCTATCAGAGTGGTTCCCTATTAGTTGCTAATTCAGCTAGAGACATGTGGTGCTATTCAACATTCTTCTCGACTTTCTTCTCCGTAACAGCGCTGAACGTGGCCAAAAAGAAGGTGCGATTCTGGAGGGAAGGCATAGATGGCTAAGCATCCGGCTTAGTGCTCTACTGACTTGAATTACGCTGATGATGATATTGGTTAGCTACATATAGTACGAGAGAACGGAGTGTACTGTTATGCAGCATAAACAGCTGCTTGCCAATGGACAGACCTGTTGTTCGAAGACCCTCGGAGACGTGGGCAGTCGTTTCCGACTTCCGGACAGCAACCGTTTTGAAAACTTCTTCCTTCGAATCATTTGTTAGACGCTTCAGAAATGAATTGAAGTCGTCAAAACGGGGCGTCTGACGTTGGTCACAATGCTTTTCCATTCCGGTACAACGGACGAAGTTAAGTGCTGAATGGAAACGCGTTTCCATGCTTTTACGACCCAGCAACCGTCACGGCCCAGCCGAACAAAGACCAAACGGAAACCATTCATTTTTGTCGAGTTTTAACTGCGTCGTTGACCTTCGTCAGCCGTTCCGCAAAGTGGACACAATGCAAGATGTGATCGGTGCGGACAAGAAGGCATGAGGTATGAGGCTCTGTTCAAATGAGTATACACTGAGGAAAAGGCTTAAGCGGCTTTTGGACTGAACTTGAGAAAATGGCTGTTGCACCTTGTAGCAGGTGAATTTTAATGCAAGTATGCCACTGGGGTCAAAGCTGTTCCAAATGCCGCCTCAACGACGTTTGACAGCGCTCTCTTTGCGTATTATACATAGGAGTCCATCTAAACAAGACTTGGCTCGATTTTATTTTAATACCTGCAGTACACGGGTGAATTTTGCATCACATTGTTGATTATAATAACATCTTCTCCTCATAGGGATGCCTAAAAATTAAATCTCCATGCACGCCTTCGCAAGACATCAAAAATGTTGTTCGTTATCGTCAATTGAGGTATTGGTGTCAAGTAAAGTGTACCTTGATCAACGATGTCTGACGCTTTAGACTTTTTGCTGCAACAGTCTGCAGTGCCGTGTCATTTTGTCTTTCGTCCATTTTTCCAAGGGAACATTTTAAAGATGAAATTATAATTCGGATAGCCACACAGGTAAGGGGGACGCCTTGCTCCACCTCTGCAAGTTGGTGAGAAAACAATGTGAGATCGCTCTAAAGACGAAATGCCAATTTCTACAGGTCACCATTCGCTCTATTCTCATGGTGGTGAGAGGTGAACATCATGAGTCAACGAGTCGAACACGTGAGGAAACTAAAATCAATCGATCACTGAATTTCAGGAATCATTTCACGGACACAATTTATTAACCACGTATCCAACGCTATTAATCCGCATCCGTTACACCTGCTTCTTTCTTTCCCGTGTTCTGAAAAAACGGCCATATCAGCTCTATGACACCGAGTACCACCATGACCCGCAGAGGCACCGGAAAAGAGGCGGAAAGGTTAAGTCCTTGTGGGGGGGGGGCAGTGTCATGGCTGATGTTTAAGTCATTTTTGAGTGACCATATACGGATACAAAGTGGACTGGAAGTGAGACAGTGAGACTGGTTTAGCCTTGTGGTAGACAATAGCTGTCATTCAGAACGCTCTTGGAGCTGGTTAAACCAAGAACTTGGTGATGGTGACAGTCGTAAGAGTATCAACAATGGAACAGTGGCATATCATTGTACTAAAATGAGAAGGTCCAATTCTCTACAGCGTTGAAGCTTTCTTTGACTAGTGACTCGTAAGACATACCTAGGTATGTGGTTTCGGACATCACTGACCAATTAAGGACGTCTGACACTTTTACCGGTGCAGCTTTGTCATGAGATGAAAAGATCTGACAAAACTCGATGAGTGATCGAAGAGAGCGAGACGACCGGCAGGAAGAGTGGAGCAGTCGAAAGAATGTCCAAATATTCACGGAAAATTTGTAGAAACCTCCCTCATCGTGCAGTTGGTTGGCGAAGTCGAAGGAACGATGTGGTAAATTTCAGAACCTTTAATATTAATATTCTGAACTGACGGTAGAGTTTATTAATTTTCTAACAAAGGGTCATAACCACTCCCTCTCGAGGTACCTTACGTCCGCTAATGAAGCTGTCCAAGGCGACGTATCAAAATATTAACAAAATAAAGCTATTATTCCTCCTTTTATATGCCCATAGGTTAAGATTGCAGCAACTAACTTCACCTAATTTGTCCTTATCAGAGCTTCCATGAAAACTAGTGACGTAGGAAAATAGTCGTTTTTTGATTTCTATATGTGAGTATTGTTTTAAACTGGTAAAAACGACTGAATGCACGGGCGTAGCTTTTCCGGGCACAGACATTTCTCTGTAACAAAATAATTTTGCACTATATGTGAGCTGTTGGCATCAGCAAAACCGCTATGATTCGAGAAATTAGCTGCATCTGCAGCTTTTCAACACCTACTGTATGGCATCGGTTGCTGTATCGTAGACGCAACGATTCATCTCCAAGAGCGGATTTGTTTCTACCTCGTTCATCCGTGTTGCATGCTGGACTCTTGTTTGACCTCTGTTGTTTTTTTATGTTGCTGTGTGAGAAGTGCTGGCTGAACGGAATGGTCAAATCTACAACTACAGTAGCATTAGGGCCATACCGTAATCAGCATAGTCATGTATTAACATATGGAAGCAGGTAATTAAGCCTTCAGTTTTGTTTTTCAGAAACATGCACCTTTCCGGACTATACTCAGGGCATATACAAAATGCAGGATCCGGAATACGTGCCAAAGTTCTACGACGTAGCCGTACGCGACCCGATCCGGTACAAAGACGTATTCATTGGTCCGTCGTTCATATCGAAATGGGGCGACTGCTACGAACAGCACGGCCACGGTTACATCGTCAGTTTAAAGTAAGTATGGCGTCACGGCTTGTAAGTTTCTGCCTCGGATTGACCTCTGCTGCTGCGACAGGAAGGTCGGCGGCTACTTGTGTTTTCGATGCATCGTGATCATCGTCCGGACTCCGAACGTTGTGCAGATCAATACGAGGACAGGTGAGACATGTTTGAGGAATAAACACCTCAGCCTGTGGTTTTTAGGCGATGCCTGCTACACCGATGTTGCGAAAGCAAAGCAGGAATGCAACAACGCCAGTATGGCCATTGCTGTGGAAGGAATCATGTTATGGCGTAATTAATTACTTAATCGTACTCGTAACTGGCCGCCAAGTTAACCGGTGTCATTTCAGGTTCTGAAAACGTGCAAAATCAATACTGTCCGTTGGGGGGACGAGCGAATTTCACGTACGCCATCGCAAATAACCTCATCTGTCCACTGTCGACCACGACGCCGTCGACAGCGAACAACTGCGATCTCGGTTTTCAGCTGGACCTGTCCTTCAGATCTTGCAACTTCTTTCAATACAGTAAGCTGATGGTTTTCAACCACGTCAAATGTTGCACGTTGAGTAAACGGCGGAAACCACTTGATCACGACTTCGACTTTCTCTTATTTGAGTCGAACGAAGAGTAAACATGTAGATTTCCTTGACAAAGGAAGGAGTTCGCCAAGTGCGGCCGGTTTGAGTCAGTCGAGAATGGACTCAAATCTGGTCGAATTTCTGTCATAAAATAAATAAGCGACTGGACGTTGTTTCTGGATCTGATCGTCGTAAAGTATTGGATAAAACACATCTTTAGGCGCATTAGTTGAGTCACTTACGGCACAAGGTGATCGCCGGCTAATAGGTTCGTAATCGAAAGCGAGAGGTCCACTGGAGGACCATTTAACTAATGAAATGTGGCTTCTGACGGTTGCAAAACTTGATTATTCTATGAATGTCCAGCCCACTCTGGGAATTTTGTCATTTGGACCCTTTTTGTGGTCTGCTTCTAAGCCACCGGCGACATGGAAATTTACATCGTTGACGTCTCGTCGAGAAATATGCCAATTGTTGCAGTAATCACTGAAAAGTCGAAAGTCGTTTCACTCAGACCAAGAAACTTTACTTGAAAAACGATTGACATAAAGCTGCCCATGCATTGGCATGCTATTTCTTTAGTCGTCATACTGGACGATCTACCAAACGCACATGGAAATAAGGTCGATCCTCCAATTTGACTCTTTCGCCAGAACTGACAGAACCCTGGGACTTAAATTGGGCATCCACTTGTAGCGTTTCGCCTCTCTATAACACTCGTGACATTCAAATGTTTCTTTTAATTCTCGTCCGCGTGTGTTTGCAGAACTCTGCGTATTTCAATGAGTGAAATTTTACTTCCTAAATGATATCACCGATGAACGTGATTTTTTCACCATTCAAAGAATGGTCATATCACAGAAGGAAATAAAAACGTCCGGCATTAGTTGATATCACAGGATAATGAAAGGAACAAGTCATACAAAATAAAGCAACGAACTGAACAAGTCGCACAAAACGTACAAAGGTACATTGGCATGAAAGCATTGCTGTTAAATTGAACATAATCAAACAGCGCTGTATAACAACGTGGGGATTCTTGAGAATGCCCGGTTAGGACAACAGCAAATAGGCCAGGTCGGCAGGAAGACCGTTACTCCAGCGAATCATCGCCCCTGGAGATGACAGAATTACGGTTCGTGAAATACCAATAAGTACTCCATGTTATTACGGTAGAGGATAAGGGAGGCAGTGATCTACTGAAGAATTCCCT